CATTTCTCCCTCTTTCTGTTCCTTCCGGAAATGAAAGGACAGAAGTGATGAGCTAGTAAATGAATCATACACAGAAAAAAGGAAGCCACAGGCAGACTAAATAAAACAATGCCTGCACTACAATCAAAGAACAAAAACGGGAGTTTTTTACCAATCTACTAATTATAATGCAAGCGTATCACTTTTAAACACATGCCTGCCCTAGGCTTTGAAGAGAAGAGAAATTTTCTTCAAAACAAAAATCAAAGTGGCTAAATATCTGAAAACTGCTCTAAATTCTTCTTGACATCAAGTACAACAACGCTTTGTACTGAACTCTGCTACTCCAACCCAAATGCAGTATGCTTACTAAATATAAAGCGCACATAAACACTTTCGCAATATCACATGTCACTACAGTATGTTGGGGAAGATATCTGAAATGTTTTTAGGAATCAATATTAAGCGAAAAATCCAAATCACTTTTCATACCATCATCGCTCGCAGTGTTCTTTACACTGTTTGAGCCCGATTTAATTAAACACTTATCGCTATGAAAACCACTTCCATACCCTCTCAATCGAAAGCTCTGATTTATTCCACTAGGTCCTATAAATGACCGATGGAATAAAATTTTATATACAAGTAAATTTTCAAAGGTATTAGAATAAACATACATATATAACGATTACATATTTATTATACATGTCACACATTTTTTTGCTTAGCAACTAATGGTTATCACTTTCTTCTCATTTCTCTCCTAACGTATTAAACGGTTTATTAATCAGATCTCTTACCTGGTTCATCCTTATTCAAGATTCCAGATTCCCTAAAATCTATGAATTCGTGGTAATCTGATGATGACGGATGTTTTTCTCGTGCATACCGGCTGTTGCACACTGATTCTTCGGTAGCCTATTGCGAAAATATTATGACCATGACCATATATTGTTAATCAGGACCAAACATAGAAACCAGAGGAATGTTTTTCAAACTTACTCTTATATCAGCACAGAAAGTGCAAAACCAGTCTCCGTCTGGTACACTGTCAAATTTTTCCGGTAGGCAATAACAGTGGCATCTAAACGACAAATTTTGTAGTTTTCATAGCAAGAAAAGCAGACCGTGCTACTGCTGAACTTAAAAGAAGCGACACTACGCTGGTAAAAAAGGACATACGCAGCATTACAACGAACTAAACTTCCGTCTACATTCTGTCCAATAATTCCGTCGCAAAGCAATAACAGATGTTCGTTTTTTGATAAGTTGCACACTTGACATCTAGCATATACTACTGTTATGTCCTCCGTTTCTTGAAACAGTTCTTCATCAATCTGGAAATTTCACGAAAATGATGAAATGCTCATTGAAGACTCCTTCCTATTGCCAATACGAAGCCAAAGTCAACAGAAATTGTAGTATTACTAAAATGGCACGAAGTACCTCTCTTCGATACTGAACAGAAGTTTCGTCTTTAATAGATGTCTTATATTCCGTACCATCCTGACTCATGACCACCAATATTTTAGCCGGTCTCTTACAAAGAGGACATTCCGATCGCTTCTAAGAAACAAATTCATTAATTGCAGAAATGTAAATACTGCTATGCAAAAAATAATATAATCTTCAGTGTAAACTCATATACAGATTTTTGAAGTAATATATATATATATATATTGAAAAAAAAATTTTTTTTTTCAATATATTTGCCAGATTACTAAAGATGATTTATAATATGAGTAATCAGTAAAGCAGACCTTTACCCATGTACTGATACAAATATAACAGAAGGTGTGTTCACATATCTTGGGCCGTGCTTTGGGCCAGCTCCCAAGCTAAAATGAATAAGTGTCCTGAACAAGAACAAAAAAAAAAAAAACACTTCGGTCTCTGTATTTTGGCATCAATGAATCCCACTTGTAGTTTGTTTCAAAGCACAGCATCTCTGGAATATATAACATGTTCCAATGAGTGATGTAAGAAAACTTACCCCTAAACATATAGAACAAAATACTGCGTTTCCTTCTTCCATTTTTAGACCACTCTTTTACGATTAATAAACGCGACAGTACTATTAAAATAAAAAGATGGACACCAGAACCGTAACATTTTACAAAAAGAGAGTGGAAAGTTTAGGAAGGTTACAAAGAGCATCAACTACGGATTAATATCATGTGATTTGATAACTCATCGCATATTTCTGATAAGGTCTATATTACCGATACAGAATCCATTTTGTATTATGCATTGCGTACATAGCCGACTTGCAGTTGCGCTGTCTTTCTACTTTGGTTGGTTTCTGATATAAAATAAGATGGTTGCAAAGCTACTTAGAAGTGTATACTGGAACTCAGCCATACATAACACACCATCCAAATGAAGCTATGAAGTCTTTCTACAGTTATCTTCCTCCACAACTTTTCTGGTCTTTTGTTTTTACGAAAGCACAAAAATAAAAACAGTAAGATATTCTATTTCTCACTGAGAAAAAAGTGATTTCCTACACTACAAAGTCCTACCTACCTTCACCCATCGCTCTCATCCTGACTTACCTGAAACCTACCTTCCCTCACCACTAACCACAACCAGTGACACCTGAACACGTCCTACCCCGAAACGGTACCAAGTAGAAACTGACAACAAGACGAATTGGTCCTATCAAACACAAGGATTCACTGTAGGACTCAACTGTTCATAGCAACGTGACGTTATGGAGGAAGTAGTCTGGAGGAGCATATTTGAATCCTGGTGTGTTGTGAAGTAGAGTCTGAATTCAGTTTAAGCAATATTTCAAAGATACCTACTTTTTGCCCATGCTTTTGCTAGACAATTAAGTGTACACGAGTGAGAATTGTTTTGCTGCAACTTTGTGTCGAATCATAACACATTATAATTCTTATCGCTTATCCTAAGATTATGTTAGTTTTTAAACGACAAATGTTTAACTGATTTGGAATTGAAATAAATTCTTCCCTGTGATCAACAGGACATATTAGATTATCGTGATTACTGAGCGTGTAGCTGGGAAAACCACGACACAGGCAAAAGCTGGGAATGCAGTGAAATTCAATGGAGTACCCTGCGTAGTATTTTCCGGAACATGGATACTGCTGTAGTAATAGGAAAGGTTAATTTTTATGGACATAACTGTGCTACTCTGTTATATTTTCCGAGTTTCTATGTTGCCGTAGTCAGCGAATTCTTTCCAGCTTTTTATTTGGAGATTTCACTGACACCCGTTTGTAAGCCGAAAACAACAGCACATCAAAGGTTTTTGTTGTGGCCTCTACTTGTATCTACCTGTTTCTTACCGGTCTACTCAGTGTGCCACATACTTCGCTCAGTGCATAAGCCCTTCTCTCTATCTAGAATAGACAACGCAGAATCAGATAAGCAGTAGTAACTGTTTTGGCATCTGCTTAAGAATTGCAGCGGCAGATCATGTATTACTTCTGACCCAAGTGCTCCATGAACTCCCCTGAATATGACAAAATCGAGTGGATTTTCCTTTTCCTTTTAATCAATAATCTTTGATCATAAACTAATTTTCTGAATTTTATGTAATATGAATAGAACCTTAGTACTTAGAGATAAATATAATAAATCACATCAGTTAGATCCCATAGAAAGGATCACTCATCCCATATGGCCACTGTGTTTATTAGATGGCTCATATCTGTATTCTTCTTTCCCATTCTCAAATTATTAATGCCTCCCACTTTTACCTCACATATTATAAACAGCTGCAGTTATCTTACCAGAGCAATGATAAATTTCACCTCTGCCTTAAATCTTACTGACAAGTCCTAACAAACGAAGTTTAACATTGAAAAAATCACACGGTGCCACATTAACCACCAACAGGAGAATTTCAGAGCACATATATGTTTTAACAAACAAATGCAAGTGAAGTTGAATAAAACAGTAAGGTTGAATATAAGCAAAGTGCATTCGTCTTGAACAACTTCCAATAGCCTTTTTTATAATCTGCATTTTAACTATGAGATAGTTATAACATAAAATAATGTACTGAAAGCACAAGAAATATATATCACCAGACCCACATAACAAAATATAAATTTACAGTAGTAGTACAAACATCGTCGACTGGACACTTCTAAATTCAGGAATTGCGAACTGAAGGTTTTATTGTATGAATTAATTCCACTTCAGACTAGTTACATAGTAACAATCATGAAGTATCAGCAGAGAACAAACTGTTTACAAATCCGACTTTCAGCTTCCTCGTGATGTAATCACGTTGCAGCCAGTTACCAGATAGACGTCACAGACTTCGCGATAAATACAAGACCACTGCATGTATCCAAAACGATCAAATCTCTCAGAATTCATAAATTTTGATAAGAACATAAAATTTAGCTCTTATTAAATCATAGACTGACTGGTCATTTTTGAACTTCCCAACCCACTTGGTCATCCCTTGCTTGGTAAGAGGCCCCAACAACTCACTGAGAAGCAGTGCCACTGCTTCGATCGATTTTGTCCAATAAAATGCTGGTAGATGTTGAGCTACTGGCAATCACTGCTCATCCACTGGGCCTGCAATGGTCGATCCAAAACAATGAATCTGCAAGCATCCATCTATGGTTCTTTATAGCACTAATTTTCTCCGCTTTTCTTCTTTCAACCGCTCCATACCATAATTGTAATAGCTAACCCCTGTTTCCTTTTGATCAAGCTGTTTAACAACTGCACCTCCTTTGTCCAGCTGCTTAATGAGTATGTGCTGTTTGTCCATCTGGTCCTCTACCGCATAAACAAACATATCCTAATATAAGTCATTTAAGTAAGTTGAAGCCGATTTCCTATCCATATTTACAGGAAAAACTTGGTTCTGGTTTCGTTCGTAGCGTTATCTCTTTCACAATTTTTGAAGATACCTGCTATCTTTAGGTGAATAAAAAAGTTTTAAAGTTTTTGTTTGCCTTATACGCAAGTCCTTGCCTGTTTTATTGTTTAAAATCTTTCTAATTCACCAATCAATTTCAGTGCTTGAATTACATATATATATTGGAATTTGTTTGCGGTTCTTGCGTTGGAATAGCAATAAACCCATTTCGAGTAGCTTGGCTCCTAAGATCTTGTTCAATCTCCTCTGAATCACGCCATTCGCTGTACTTTTCCATCATAATTTGGTCTTCTTCCAAGATTTTGTCAAGCCTTGTACTCAGCTGCAATTTGCTTTGAATCAAATTGAAATTATTGTACTGTTTTAAAGTTGTCATTAGTATCAAACTGAGGGATGCAACGAAGAGTATGTCAAGTGTAACCAAACTGAAAGAAAATTAAAAAGACTTAAACAATCAAAAAATAACCGGTGGAGAAGCACGTGAAAGATGCGTTTTCATTAAAACTTTACATTCGGAGAACATGGGCCGGTTACTAGGATCCGAAAGCCAACACTGTCTCATCAGGTTATATCTGCAGATAAAGCATTTTCATATTTCACTAGCCATATTTTCGATAATCATGGATATATAGCTATTAAACAAAAGTCTCATGTAAGCACTGAAGAGTTTGAGAAGGTTTAGGGGCGATAAAATAAAAAACCGAAGTTAGTAAATAAGCAAAACGTCATTATTGAAATTGCAACTACAATAACCGTTGAAACCAACATGTCATCTGGAGCAAGTTTGGGTTGTTCCATGCGATTTTCTTCTAGCAAATAACTTAGAAGATCATTATTGTCAATTTGTGGATATGGAACTTTACCAAGAGAAAATATTTCCCACAGCAGTACACCATAGGACCAAACATCGGACTAAAAACTAATTACACGCCAATATAAGAAAACTGCTTGGTGTGATCTACTGCCTTATCAAAACATACAACAAGCATGTAAAAACATTACTTGTTCAGTGAAATTGTGATATAAAATTGATTCTAATGCCATCCACTTGAGAGGTAACGGTACACTTTGGCTGCTTCGTATATGATAAACTGTAGAATCCTTACGTGCTAAACCAAAATCTGCTATACGTATAGCTCGTTTCTTTGTTACCAAGATATTTCGAGCAGCAATATCTCGATGAATACACTAGAATGTTGCTGAATTTATTACGGATCACTGCATAGATAAGTTTTTGAATGAAGAGGTCAAAGATACCGTTTTACTAGACAAGTATTCCATTCCATTGGCGACTTGGTATCCAAATGATATCAGATCACTCGTGGTAATCATTTTACCAGCCATTCGTTCTTCATCTACTTCAATAGCCCATTGGAGCTTTAGTTCCGCCTATAACATATAGTTCAGTAAATAAATTTATAATAAGATGTTCCGTTATGACAAGCCAAATTGCAGATTTTTTACAAACAAGGCTGTACAAATGTTTTTATATTCTACTACTAATTTACCTAATTTGACAAATATTATTTCAAATTGTTCTTTTTAAAAATAATCTTTGAAACTCATCATTCCCTAAATACTTTCAGGGAAAGGCATTTTTAATAAAACCAAAGAAACCAAATATATTTGGGCTTTATGTTGTGCGTTCCGTGTTGGTGTCAAGTATCCATCGCTGCTCAACGGTTCTCTACTTATTTCAACTTCATTCAGAAAACCTGCACTGTTTTTTGACAAATAATCTTTCAAATTGTCATTCTCGCAATATTCCATGATCATATAGAGTTGCCCACTGTAATATACTACTTTTAACTTATTGTCCAATCATATCCTTTTTCTAGTTTTTACTAGAGTAACACTAAAAAGTACAGAAGAGTAGCACCATAAAAGAGACTGTCCACTCGAAAATATTTAAACTACCTGGACATTTGTTTTGTCACTGCGCCAATTAAACACAGAACATTCGGATGAACACCAACAGCGATCATTATTTTCAATTCATCAGCAAGTGCCTTTTGATGATGTACATTACGTCCATCACGTGGAGCTTTGATAGCTACTTTTAGTACATCTGACACAGCTAACGAATCACTGACTCGAGGTTTGCTCAGCTCACCTAGATACACTTGTCCGAAATGTCCTCCGCCAAGTGACTAAAATACGTAATATATTATGCACGGCAGTTATTCCAAGGGCAATGGAGTTAAACAATTTTTATGGCCCAAAAAAAAGCCATATTCACTTGAATTTCCTAGAACATGCAACCTTCTATAACATGTATTAAGCAAATGAATCTAACAATAAATCAATAGGTTTTCCACCACAGGATAGAGATACTAACCCAGAAAACGTGTTAAGAGCCTTTATTTTATAATCCTAAAAGGTACACAATGATAAAGAATAGAATCTACCCCGAACTATGTTTAGGTGTGATTAGATCGTAATAATATCGACAAATCTGCAGTAAACCCAAACATCCTTAATGAAATACCTCTATCAGTTATTTCCAAAATTTTTACACTCCTCAAAATTTTTTGCAGAGTTTTCAGCACCGTCCAATATTCCCAGTAATTTTCAGTACCTGTGTTAATCCGATCAGAACCAAAACAAAGTAAAAAAAACCTGCTTAAAAAAAAGTTTGTCTTTGTTAATTTCATATCTGCGGTCATAGGGTAACTGTTCAACTCGCTCATGTAGTGGTTGCTTGAGACCAATCGATCCATCATGATATTCTCCATTTGACTCGCTCATCAACTGATTATATAGTGCACGCAGTCGTTCCTCCTGTCGCTTACTTTTACAACGTTGTTTCAATAGGAAAAGAAGCGCCATAAGGAGCAAGACCAATACACTAACCGTTGCAAAACCAAGAGTCCACCAATATTTTGATGACCGAATATACGCAGGCTCATCGACTAACTAAAATAGTTTCATAACTCATTTGATGGCTTGTCAATGAGAATTTTGTAGAGATCAGAAGGAAAATGGATATTGGGAACATTTTTTCAAATTTTTTATTATCTTCACGACAGGCAAGTGGTCGGTGATATTTAGTGCAAAATATGATCAGTTTGCACGTGTAAGACGTCATGTAGTATTATGTTTCACAAAGTACATCAGAAAGTTGTAAAATATCAGAAGCTGTAAAAAAATAATTATAACAATTTGACAGATAACAAAGCAAAATTTAAGAACATCCTCATCGAACTTGCCTCAAGTCTAATAGAAACCTGTTGTGAACCAGCGCGATTTTTTGCAACACATGTGTAAGTTGCTTTATCCTCAACCAAAACTCGAGGAAAATCAATTTTCTTCGTCAAACTGCCGTAGCCATTGTACTCAATACCATTTTTAAGCCATCTGTAAAGTGGTTCTGGCTCTCCTTCAATAGGACATACAAGTTCTGCCTTTTCGCCATATTTCGCCAAATGCTCATATTCTTCTTCAGTTCCGACAATGTGCGGAGCGACTACTACGTTTATCTAGAAACCAGAGTCTTTTTTCTTGCCTTTGAAAAGTTAATGATAAAACTTCAATAAAACTCAAATTATTATATATGAATCTTGGAAGTATAGAAGGAAACCAAACCGTTTTTTAGATCTAAAAGGCGCCGTAGTCATAGATAGTTAGGCACCACTTTCACAAAAGTTAAGAACAAGATTTTTCGGAAGTCTTTCGAAAACAATTCAATTTAAAGCATAATGAACTATTCAAAATATGGTATTGTCCGGCTTTACATCTGTTATAAGACAAACCAAGTTTTTAGTTAATAATTTTGATAAAACCTATGAATTAAATCCAAAGACCTACACCGAGACTGTGAAAGAAAACGAAGAAAAAAGAAGAAATAAAACTTAGGTCACCTAATGGTTCTCGTCAGTGCTTACTTTGATGTGCAATGTGTAACTGCGATAAATATGTGTATTTTTCGATTTAGCAATACATTCATAATCCCCTGACTCGTTCGAACTAATGTCATCCAGTGTCGTTATGAATTTCTGAGAGTATATAGTGACATGCCGTTCAGGATATGCCAACTGAACATCATCTCGCATCCAAACAACATCACTGAAATACATCATGTTCTCCAAACATGCCAATAAATTTGGTACCTTTCACAATGCCAGTTTTGGAAAACTTTAGAAATTGCTTTTATTTCTTTTTCAAACTCTAATTCTCAAATATAATGTCCGAAGAAGATATAAAAAAGCCTTTTATTAAATAAATTTTAAGGTCAGTCGAGGGCTGGAATAGAGCAAAGTATATTGAGGAAATACCGATTTCACTGGTTCATAGGATCACTTTTCCGGCCGGTAGAAACAAAATAATATATCAAAAAATTTTTTGTCATATTACTTCCCTGTTTTTCATCTATAAAAATCAAAATACCAACAAATCATCGTTTAGTGGCAGTATGCAAATCAGCTCGAGATGATCTTTTTCATAGATACTGTTGTCTTCATTGAGTAAATCAATCGGCTTTTTGGCAATAAAAGATGCGTTAATTGTCTCCACTTCGGAGACGACCAAATTCTTTTCATCCACCTAAATAATCTCATTTTAAAAAAGCAGAGGAGGTAAGAAAAATGCACTTTTAGAAGGAAAATAAGGTTCAGCAAAAACTAATTCGGTCAATAAAGTTTTACAAAATCTTCAAAATATGTTATGGTAGTATCGCTTTAAGCAAAGCAAATAATGCATGTGCATATGACTTTTGATCATTCTCCTTCCATACAATATATAAAAATGGCAAAGAATACGTCACGCCTCGACACTACGGAGTCGATTTCGCAATGTGGGTTGGACTTCACGAGAAAGAGAAATCAAAAATGTGGAGAAAAAGACATTGAGAAAACAAACGATAAATGAACAACAGATTTTAACAAATTTTCATGATTCTGGAAAAACAAAAAGGAAAATAAATAAAATATGCAAGAATTGCTCTACAATCTCTCCTTTTTAAGTGTATGCTATCTTTGTTTACTTTCAAGACCACACTGATCATAAAATAACAAAAAATACCTTGTTGGCTTCATCATCTTCACAACGTATTCGCATATGCTCCTTCGCATATGTTATCCATTTTATAGCAGATTCGAAAGTGAAACCGGATAATTCTTTGCTGTCATCAGGTTGTTCCCACTCACCACCTCTTCTGAATTTACAGGTACAGAAATCAATTTTGTATTCAAGAAACCTGAGCAAAAGATTATGAAAAAAAAAATCTGTATATGGATATAAGAAAACTCACGTTACGTATAACAGACGTAATTTGTGAGATCTTGTATCTTTCACTAAGCACGTAACAATTATTTTCGAATCGATTAACACATCAGATAACAGAAGTTGGCCGAACTGATCATGTATAGTAATGTGTGGTTGGATATCGATAGGACGAATGGATAATGTCCAATTTTTTCGGTAAATATAATCCTGCGACACTCTTATCACTAACTGATAACTGCAACATACTTTCTAATGTAAATATTGCTAGAATAAGTAACACCTATTGCCACTATACTTTGCTTGGGTTTTTATTTATTCTCACCCATGAAATGGCTTTTATTTATTCTCACCCATTTTATTTATTCACACACATGGCATTTTGAAAATGTAATTCTAAAAAATACAGCAACGAAATGGATAAAAAATATTTAAAATTATCTTAACCTTATCTGCAGTTACTGAAAATGAAAATGAATTGACGTTAAAAAGAATGAAAAACTTACTGAAATATTAAATTACTTTGTCTTATAAATATTATTCTTAAGGTATTGCAGTTGCAATAAAAATTTACGGTAAGTTGTTTGCTTCTAGTGATGGAGCTTCCCATTAAACCTAGTTCTCAAATTTCATAATATGACCCTAATATCCGTAGTGTGTCTTATTTTTCAGTGATAATATCAAAAAGACAAACATCGCAGAATCATCAACAGTAGCATTAATGATTGATAATTCATCTTCATGAAGATCTGCATTCATTTCACTTCTTATATCTTTTTTGATTATCTCCATGAATTCTTCCCCAGATGATATCGTTTTCGAATACTAAAAACTGTCATCTTCAAAGCAAAGGAACAAAGAAATTGAATCAGAAAGGTTAAGTTGCTAAACCACAAAAGCAAAATAAGGTTGCAATTACTGCATCACCTAACTATGGCTTCACGAAATTAAAATAAGACACTGACAACTGAGACCAGGAAGTTCGGACTTCTGGATGAAATGAAGGGGATGATTTCAAGACGATAGCTCCCATAAAAAATCTTAGTATGACTATATTTCATGTTAAGTTCTTATATCTTTTTTGATTATCTCCATGAATTCTCCCCCAGATGATATCGTTTTCGTTACAGTTCATTAAAAAACGTGTTACACTGATTAGGAAGAGCCAGCGATTAAACTGGTCTAGAAGAAAAATGTTGAGTTTGTTTTGTCTGATGCTTTGAAAAACAGAACATAGAAGACCAAAAGTTAGGTGGAATCAGATGAATAAAATTTGTCTAACCGAAGATTGAAAATAATACCAGTAAACTGAATATATTTTTTAATATTTCTTTTCCTAAATGAGGAAACTTTATACTAAACAAACCTTTCGCCACTCAGAACTATATTCATCGCTTGGAAATGCTCTTGCTATATGAAACAATCTCACAGTTTTACCCTCTTCAGAATCAATATTTTCCGAGAAATCTATCACTTTCAGTTGTCCTCTTGTGGGTGACACTTGCAACCGATGCGTACTTCGACGAACATCATGACCATCATCCCTATTTGTCACTATGCACTCATAATTGCCAGAATCGCTCTCACGCAAATCTCTAATAAACAACAGTTTCTTGATACCATCTCCAATTTTCATATAACGATTTGAAACGACGCGATCCTAGAAATATTTTGCTTGTTTCTTTTAGCATAATGGTGAACTAAACTTTAAAAGAAAGTTAAAAATACTGAATCTAAATCTTTGCCATTTCTTTTCATTGCAATATTATGAAAACGAGGAAGTGCAATAATGTAATATGAATTTTAGAGATACAAAAACCTAGTGCTCAGGATTCCATTAGGTTCTTTAAAGTGTACAAAAATGCTGATGTCTCCACATATCCTATGCAAATAAAAAAAAGCAAATATGTGTGAAAAGCTCAAATTTTTTAAATTTCTGTAACTTCAAAACTTCTAATTAATAAAACAGAAATATCATACATGACATTTCACATGTGACAAAAGAAATGAGATTAGCAATTTCAAGACTTTGAACAATATTATAAATTGCAGCAGAGAACAATGATTTGTAAAAGCAGCATACCGTCTCGTTTTCACACTGAGGGCATTTCCAGGTCAGCATATATCTAAATCCATCTCTTGTATGAAAGGTACAGTTCATATTTAATTCCTGGCTAACGTAAGGCCATGTATTCGACACCTCAATAACTGGCGAGTATTCCATTTCTTTATCATTTTTTATCGGTACTATTATCATTTCTGAAGTATGGCCCAAATATTCACAACGAACCGGCACCTCCGCACGATCGTTAAGAAGCCCTCGATCAACAATGAATCCGATCCTGAAAAAATTATCGGGTTGCATTATGCACAACATAGCTGTATATACGAAATATAATTTTGATAATTCGTTATATTTGGAGAGAAAACAAAAGTGCCATTAAAAATAAACAATTAGCTAAACAACGAATTTTCCAAAGTTCATGAATCATGTTTTAGAACGGATTACCTCGGATCAAACTGAATTTCTCCGGTCTGCTTTATATGATTAATGAACAACTCTACACCGCTTTCGATGAATTTATCTGTTCTGCATGGCAAGATCACATTAAGTCCTCGAAGTTCTTTGGAAATAATTAAGGGACCAGAATTCAAGAACGACCCTGTTCTAACTGACTTTCCATCTGAATTATATCTTACTGATAAATTTCTAATTTTAATATACTCTATCTGTGATGAACATATCTCATACAGCCACTAACGATAACAGCATAGTGCACAGTCTCACACAAATTTGTCATCTTTTATACTTATTTAACATAAAACAGTCAACAAGAACTATTTTTAAAAAAAGGTAAATCCTGTGGATTTTATTTTCCTCACTTATACTCGAAAGAGTTCTAATCGAAAAGAGAACTAACTTTTGTTACTGGATACATATACATATACGGAGGAACTAAATCCGGAATGCTCTGCAACACAAACATATTCACCCGTGTCCGAGCTTTTCAGCTGCTCTATTCGTAAACTCCGAAATCCAATATCAAAGCTGCTCTCTATGACTCTACCTGTTCGCTATAAATGAAACAGTCCCCGATCATCAAATCAATTTCTGATTGTAAAATGTTGCGTCTTAAAAAAACTTATATCATTCCATATCAAATGCTTCATAATTTTCCATGAAAATGGTACAAAAACAAGATTTTAATGCAGATTTACCTGTGATACTAATGAATAAAAGGTTAGTTTCGTGTAACTTTTCATACTGATCTTAATCTTAAATCAAATTAGTAAAGTTATAAGACGTGCTCTGAAAATTGCAAAACATGAAATATGTACACTATACAATCCTATTGCATTTCAATAACAATAACAAACGCTCGCAGATTTGCCTTAGGAATAAACTTTTTCGCGGATCAAGAGATACCTTTGTTATTTTTCCAAACCAAATGTAGTGCACATCATCGACTTTTTCAGAAAATGAAGTAACATGTCTCACCAATCAACGATGATCTTGTGATTTCCCATTAACATAACAAGTCTGTATTTCCTCCTTTAATTTCTAGAGCCCAACTCTGCATATTAAATTACCAATCGCAGACGTAAGCATAACATTTTCTTTTTACACTTTTGATAAATAATTTTGGAAATTCAGGGAATCCATGACTACGCATAGTAATTAAGGTCTCAGTCAGTTCTCGGAAGATCCCGAAAGACTGAAAGAAATTGAACACTTATAAAAGGCAGACTACACATGAAAAAAACGAACCTCCTTAGGATCGAAGTTGGTATGGAAAATGTTATCAGGCAATATCCATTTAACGGCTTCCGTTGTTGAGCAGTTCAATTCTAATGTTTCGCCATCTTTTTTCTCAGTATATGGTTGACCTTTGTATTCTTGAAAATCTTTATTTCCAATGATAACGGGTGGATAAAGTGATGCATCGATAGTAATAAAGCATACAGCAATAAGCAAATATCTTATAAAAGGATAGAATAAAAGCATAAATCGCCAACAGGAAGTACGACAATGAGGTGTTGGTAGTGAATAATCAAATGAAATGTGATAGTGCTCCTTTGTGGAGAAAGTGGTAGGTGCAGTATATAATGACCTCGAGTATACCTCATGTCTGCTTGATCCAAAACGAAAAGGCCATGGATTGCTGCACTGAACTGCCATTGCTCTCACTGGAAAACGACTTGGTTTCACTGCGTTCTACTGACAGCCAATATTTGTTTGTAAATCGACGAAGTAGACAGGTGGAAAGTAATGAATGAAAGAAAATGACAATGAGTCATCGTGCTTGTCATTTTCAGCATTATGAATCAGACTGTTGACACCGGGAGCAACACAGTTATTTAGGTTACAAGGACATGGTTGTAGGTGGGATGACTAATCCCAGCGTATACCGCTGGTTAGTTATGTGCTGCTGTTACGCTACTTTGAACATTCAAGTACAGATGTTCGTTCTTGATAACAACAGCAGCAAATAAAATTAGGCACCAATTAACAAGCAAAATATCAAATTTTATCAACTACGCTCTGTTCCCGTCCAACTGCTACTATACCTTGCCATCACCAATGCTCCACTGTCGCTGCTATACTAAGGGATTCTCTAAACTATCTCAAAATCACTGCTAGTTTTAATACATCTATCACTATAAGTAAACACACACATATGGTATACATATATACACCCACAAAACATGCAGAAGACACAATCAAAAGCCACATTGTATTTCCAGTTTCTCTTATTTCAGTTTCTCACTGTACTGTATCACTTTGATCAGCTATTTTCAATAAAGAAAATCGGCATGACGAACTGAATAATGGGAGACTTCGAGGAACTTGTAAGTGACCCACTACTCCACGTTATCTCAAATAATCTAGCACGAAAATACAGTTCTAAAACATCATTCACGTTGAGCAGATTAACTAGTTGGAGGAAAATTTATGACTAATCGACCAACTGTTGACAAGTATACGATTCCTCTGAATCTTTCGCATTTCAACTGTTCTTTTTCCTGAGCAGCTCAAATAATTATCAGAGACTTAATGCTTGGTAATTACATTCAGGAATCTCTCAACAATTCCGCCAGTCAGTGATAGAACGAAGTCTAGTCCAGTGGTAGTACTGTTACACGGTTAAGAACCAAAGATATAAATATTCAAAACCGTACAATATTCTTGTTGAAGAAATTGAAATATTTTATAATCTACATACGTCTAAATAATAAAAGCATTTGCATAATAGAAATTTCTCGCATTACATAAAATGAATATAAATAAATGTTACAATGTCTAATATGATGAACAATGTCTAACATAATTTGTCTAATTTCCATCTGTGTTTCCAATCTGAGAGTTTATCTTCAACGGTTAAAAAACCAATTGACATGTGAAGCTCTAAAAGAAAGTGCTTATATTATTAAGAAAAAAATTTTGGCCTGGTAGAAAGTAGAAACGCTTTGTGAATATGAAAATATAAATTGTGATACCCTTGTTCTGATAGATTTATATATGAAACAATACAACAACATCCAGTTTATTAGAGGAATTTTGATTACAAAGACTATTCTGTAAATTAAGTTTGATGACTTGTAAGTTATGTGCGAACAAGTTTCCGTTTGGTACAATTCAATGAATAATTGCTTTTCACGTTTTTTGGGTGAGCAATAAACTCAAAAACATCTCTGGCAACTGTGTGTCATTTCTCCCGTTAACTTAATTCCAGCAATCAAGTAAATCTGTGGAGTATCACTAGATCCCTCTTACTAAGCGGTTGAAAGAGTATATTATACCACAGGCATTTTCATCCAGTAAAAAAAAGAAAATTTATCTAGATCTAATGTAACGGATTTACAGTAATGAATTCATCTGATACTAGTAGATGATAAATTGGAACTAATAAGCATTTCCGTACATTGAACTTCTACGCTGGTGTTGCAGGGAAGACAAAAAACATCCAATACGATGATTCCATTTGTTTTATTAATCTCAACTGCTATAAGCAGAACAATCAGCAGATATGACCAGCTAAGCAGATAAAGTCGTACATTTGCATATATTGCCTCTTCACATAATGGTTCATTATGTGAAGAGTATCATTTTTCATTTTTCACAATTATGCATTAAGGGATGACCTAAAGGATGTTGTTGTTCGCAAGAAGGAAGATTTTTTTATCTTCAGTTCAAATCAAGCGCATTCAGCAGTATTTTAAATATCGATGGCAAAATGCCATCATATCGTTCTGGTGGTTTACTATAATACGCATTCTTTATCCACTTCTCATGCTTAATAGCGATATCGTATCCAGATACTACGATGTTAATTGTCACATATTAATATTACAGAATATAGTTGGTCTTTTGCAATCCTTGTAAATAAAAAGTGGTAAGCGATAAAAATCAGTGTTTATGTGCAGAAAGAAGACAGGTCATGAAATTAGTTAACTGAATCTACTGAAATTAAATTCACATTAATTTAATGTGACTTTATTTAGCACAAACTAATTATAAGCAGACTATAAAAAGGTCACCTATTGTGAATGTAACTTTTCTTTCTCCATCTCCTTGCATATTTTTTCCCTCTCTTTCTTTCGATCCCATCTCATTACATAACGTAATTAGTTAAAAGTCGTAAGACCTTTTAAATTTTATTTAACATACCATAAGCATAGAGTAACTTACACTGCACTATTTAGACAAGAATCGCTTAAAATACATCCCACTTATTCTCACCATTTTCTGAAGACAAAAAGAGACAAGAATATTCCAACCTTTCTTTCATATCTCCAATAAATTAAACCTACCCGAATAGTGAAATTCTCTGTTCCGCGTTTGTTCATTTTACCGTTCCGCATTCTATCACTGCTTTTCAATTTCACGGATGGTATTGTAGACATATTCTAAAAAAGTGGCAAATTTTCTATGTTAAACTTAGTATCGTGTGAGTGGTGGTTACATCAATTGCAGTCAGAAAAAATGGTCACTGACAGCCGGTTTAATTAAAATTACAGCCTTCACTTCTGTGCATCTGTGTCTTTTCGGAATCAACAACAGTATATCCGGTTATTCTGCCGTTTACGTATTGTTGCATTTTTAAATGTGGACAAATATCACCAAATTTTATTACTTCTCAACAACATTTTTTTACTGTTTTTGGGACTTTTCTGCATCTACATTTTCTGACTTCACATGGACAGAAATGTATACATGCCTATATATATATATGTGTATATCTCTGCCTGGCCATTCTAAAGATGTCATTTTCTTAGACGTAAATCACACAGTTTTCGTGCTTAATGTCCGCTATAGAACATGCAATAAGTTATTGCAATTGATATATAATACATCAATTTTTGCGCAGATTGTTGTTTGCTTCTAATAAAAATGTCTCCACATTGTTATTCACAATTGGATACTAAGACAGATCAATATTTTTCTTACAGCAGAATTTTGAATTTTTAAATACTTCTTAAACCGGTAATTTTTTATCTCCTAGCACTGTTTGATCATTTATCAAAAAATCCAGTAGATGTGACACTTTTTCACTGTCAGTTCTGTTTGTCCAAACGCTTTGGTTGGCATATTTATTTATAGAGATGTGGCTGCCGCGATTGATGCGTGCGGCAAACGAAGAACAGGAACACCGTGATGCCATTGGGCGTAAGTTTCATATTTATCATTGTGGTTTTGCTTTCAAGCAGTCTCTATGTTGCAAATCTATTTGTAAAATACGAGAGAAAATTATCAACAGAATGTTTATATTATCTGTATTGATACCACTCCAGTTTACTAGATCACTTTACTGCATTTCGACTCCACTTGAGCAGATTATATCGCACTGTTCCAGTATCAAGTCATGCTGCACAAAATTTGTTCGGAACATTGGTGGCTTGTGACTGTGGACATCTGGTATCATGCAGACGAGCAGCACCAATGGTTTGTTCTCGAAATGATACTCAAGTATTAAAACATCGGTTCATTTTGGTTAAATGGTGTTGTATTGCATTTCTTCTACTCATCTTTACTCTCATCGGTAATTATACATTCTCATTGTATTTCTCATCATGATTATAACTGGAAGTACCCAAAAAGTCATTTTATTAGTTGCATCTATGGTTATTGTAGAAAAGCGATGGACTGATTCAGTTGGATAGTCACAGGCGAATTAAATTAATATTCGAAGATTTTCTGTAGAAATGTCTCTAAAATTTTTTAATGGACGTATGTCAATAAAAACTATGAATTTGTTCTCGATTGGCGCTGGTTTGTACAAAGTGAGACAAATCACACAACCTTTGTTTACAATATTATTTTGAGCACTTTTTATAGAATTCAGAAAAAGTCATTTCTACCAGAGTTTACTGGATTTTATAGTAATTGCAGCTTTCTCTGGGTTTTTAACTTCGACACCTACCGAACTGACATCCGGCAACTCATACCTCTTTCTGACAATCATTATTACCAGTTTATTCCTGTTTGGTGGTTTGTGTTGTTTGCGTGCGCGTACAATCTGCAGACATCGTAATGTTCGCCATGGTTCGTTGCATTGTCGTCGTGGCCATTATCAGTCACATTCCCTCCGACTTCCTGTTTCACTTTTTGCACATAGTGCTTATCCTCGGCCACATGTTCATTCATCTCCAAGCTCCTTTCGTTTCTCCGAATCACTCTTGTGAGTTAGTGTTAAAATTTTCAAAATTACTTGTTTGAAAACTATGCTCGTAATTAGACCAGAAAGTCTTAACGTATATTCTGCCCCAAACTAGATGAGTACAAGAAGCAGGATGATGTTAGGAATACTCCAAAATATAGTAACTTAAAAGGATGTTCAAACTAGTGTTTAAATTGATAAAATTCTCTACTACTTTTGCCGAAATCGCTTAAGATTTTCAGCTACAATGCTCTTTTGCAAGCATGTACGGCTCCACTGCCAACATATAACGAAGCAATTAAAGAACCAGTGTTTGCACCACCAGCTTATTCAACAATCATTACGCATTCTTCGGCAGCACATGTTAGTTCACCGAACGGGACTAATCATGTTTCAAGTTCTGTTCTATCGTCAGTTGGAGACGAAAGAATAAGAGAAAACATCAGTAGCAGTGATAGTAGTACTAAGCAAGAATTGATGGTACAGTTACAGCCGCATGTAGTTGAAACTGTCGCTTCTGTGGAAGTTCATCATGCGAATGGGGCGGATAATGAGGTTGTACAGGCTAAAGAATATAAATCTGATGAGTAGTTCCGTGGCATGTTTTCTTTATGTATTCACATACTGCTGAATTATTTACAGGTGCGTTGCAGATTTTTTTCCCTTTTAGGAAGTTTTTTTTTTTTTTCTTTTTTCCTCAGTCATAATACATTAATTAAAATAATTGGAAATTCCAATTATAGACGTCAAAACTGATTTTGTCTCTATTGCATAAGCGTGATTGTCAGGAAAATATTCTTAGTTTTCTAGGACATTTTTTACGAAGTTCGTTGCAGTCATGTTATGAATATGATTGAACGAAAATGTGAAGCAGATTCAAAAATTAAAGAAAATAATGTTTTCGATGCTGTTCAGCTAGTCTGGAAAGACTGCCGCTTTACCATTGTCGGGTAGCACATTTAGAGTTCGTTTGGTATTTCACTTATCAGTGTTTCGAGGTAATTCATTTCATATGTGTTTCTGATCCAACAACTTTTGTGAATTTGAAAATATCATAAAGTTGCAATTTTTTTGAATAACTGTTGAATCTCAGTCGTATATTTCAATAAAATATGTTTATCTTTTTTTTTTTTCCTTAACTTATGTCAGGTTCTGTATAGTAGTAGGCATTTATGAATTTCACCCTTTTTCATGTCCTGTAATCGCATCTTTGTTGCGTTGATTTCGCTTTAATTTTTTTGTATTTTCGTTTCTTCGCCATGCTGTCATTAATTTCACTGATTTAGTCGTGTTTTGTACCTAGTAAAAATTTCTGCTTGGTTTTATTGTTTTGGAGCTGACTTCAGAGATCAGTATTATTCTATCAAGCTTGCTAATCATTCATTTTTGTATAGGCGAAAAGAATTTTGTAGTATTGAAATGAAATGTTACATTTTATCTAGACTAAGCCTATGGTAGCAACGGTAATGATGTGCTACGCTAAATTTTACATGGATAAAATATGGTTCTAGAATGTTCTGTTGGAGAACATCTCGAAAAATCTATTGTTAAAGACACTCATTGTCGTGTCATTCCTGCATCAGATTTTCGTACTGGTCAATTGTTAGTCATCAACATTTTCATATTCACTCAGGCCTCCTTTTAAATTTTTTCACTGGATGAATGTTACTCTGTCTCGAATATGTTATAGCCTTGAGATTGTCTGTTTAAATTGTGTATAAACCGTTTGTTTGTTATTGCTTGACTGGTATCTCATCCTACGTTGCGAATGATTTTGAGAGAAAAATGACTTTCCTGGTTCCATAATTTTTGTTTGCTTTTAAATGAGTGTCACAATATCTTTATATTTATAAATTGGTTCGGTGCACAGGAGTCTTGTTTTTGTCTAAATGCTATGGAGTGATATTTTATTTGTTCAGTATTCAGTTTCTGCTTTGATGCAAGAAAGGTTTCCGGTAGTTGTTTTTTAAAAATGTATTTTGGAATATTTTTACTTTCAATACAAAATGGAATTAGCTCCTGTATCTACTTCCAACCTCCTGCATTCGGCCAAACAACTAGAGTGATAATTATACATCCTTTCATGGAATTGGTCCAACAAAGGCAGAATAAAGTGGCATTGAAGATTTTCCTTTATTTTGTTGTTTCAGCGGATTGTGGTATGGATTTCCATCCGGTTCTTACTAGTTGGTATTCTTCAAATACTTTATGCGCATTTGTATATATGTGTGTGTTATTTTAAATATTTTACCCTGTTTTGTCTGGAAAGCCTCCAGGATTGAAGAAGCTAATAAAAAGTGTCATTTAACTTCCTGTTTTTTATAGGTTTATATTTTCTTGCAGAGTTTTTTCAAATACGATTGAGTCACGCCAAGTAATTACACTTTTTTGGCCTCTGGCTTATTTTCTGAATAGAGATTGTTAAGCTTTTTATCCTTTCGTTTGATATTTTAAATTGTGTTTTCAAATTAATTTGTTGCTTGCGAGCAAAAGGGACACCTGAAAATGCGACCTTGCAAAGCACTTAAAGTGAAAGCGGAGGAAGCTGAAGCATGTTTGTTCTCTGTTTACTTTAAGAATAAATCTTGCTTAACTGATCATCTCATTTTGCTCGCTAAGACATATTAAAGCAAGCTATAGGCTTCCAGAAATTTAAGATGTTTTCTATATGTTCAAGTGTTTATTATATTTGTCTAAATTCGCTCCGAAGTGGTGATGTGTCGTGACTGAATACTTTGCTCAAACTGAATAAAACTTTATGTATCTACTGTTTCTGGTAATGCCACTGTTAAATTTTGGCAAATTGTTCTAATCTGTAGATGTACACAAACGAAGATCTATTTTCATGCTGTGGGGAACTGTGCTATTTTCACTTCCATTAATGTATGTAGAGGCAAAGTGATAGGTATAAACCACTGAAGAATATCTGTGACCACAGAGCGGCGCTCCGCACTTCGGCGGTATTATCACTTATTGCACACTTATTTTGTTTATAGTTTCTTTTGTAGAAAGTAAGTTGGTGAGTGGCTTAATGTAAAATACGACTGTACACTGATGTGCAATTCCTCCTACTTTAGACCTTCCGTTTCATATTTTGCTTAGCTTAGCGTCGAGGATGCAAATAAGGATGAGACGTAAATGGTGAGTAGCGTAAGATGTTTTCATAGGAATGGTCTGATACCATTTTGAAGTGTTATATGGGAGAGTAGAATAAAATAGAGCAATTAGTTGGAAGATTTAGTAGATTTAGATGAGTTTACTTCACTAGTCATACGTTCTGCTGATGTAGAGATCTTTATTATTTGATGTAATTTTTTTTTTTTTTTTTTCATTCTCTGTGTATAGGCTGAAGGAAATATACTTGCAACCATAATTTTTCCCAGAAAGTAACGTAGTAGGGATGGTTGTCCACATAAATGACTTTCATGATGGATCAATGACTTATTACTTTAGCAAATTTATAATATGAAATAGTACACACAATGTCTTCATCACTAACAATGCTGTTACTTAGGCTCTTTACAAGGAAGAAATTATGCAGAAAGCAATTATTACAAGAGCACTGAAATTTGTTTAGTATCTCCCTATACTCGAATAGCTTTGGAATTTAAGTAGCTGAGAATCAGTCTAACAGTGCAACAGTTGTCTGAACAATGCATTATTATTTCTGAAAAATGAATAGCTGCTTATGAAGTAGTGATTATTCAGCATAAGAAAGTCGATATTCTTAATTTTGAGCAGGAAGAAGAAAATTTTTTTTTCCGTTCTTAGAAATTGCGTTTCCCTCAAAAGGCTATGCTTAACCATGAATTTGCTAAATTACTTCAGCTTCAATTCGTAACCTCAGCAGACTAATACGCATTTAAAGTGCCTATTATCGTAGGGGCCTACTGGTAAGGCCTCATTCTCATGTTACATTTACATTTTTTCCAAAGTATGAAAATATTATTTCAGTTGAAGGAAATATGTCGCTCTTTTTTTTTGAACTGAACGGTTCTTTACAATTTTAATAATTTGTCGAACAAGTACTTTTTTTCGGAACATCGGTTCTTATTGTTTTTTTTAAAAAAATTATTTTTTTCACTCATTGTTTTTTTAAATTTTTGCATGAGGCACAATAAATTTATTTTAAGGTGGGTTCTCTACACTCAACTTTTTTCTACATCTACAGTATATATTCTATAATTTTTTTACAATTAACTGTTTAAAACTTGTCCGCTACCTAAATCCGAGAAACTTGCTTTAAATAATTCCTAAAAAACGTAACGAAAGGTCATACGAGTGTTACATATACTGAAGATTTGAAAACCAAAGAGATCTTTACACAAACTCTTCGTCCGTGTCATTGCAAAAGGAAGTCCCTTTGAAACGAATGAATATATTAAAATCGTGTTGAAACAAATATATATATATGAGAATTAATTTTCAAACACTTTTTTTGTATTGTTTTAATTTTTTTATTGTTTCAATTTTAATTATTTTTCTGAAAGGAAACCATAAATGGGTATTAGCAGCAGAGAAGAACTGAAGCACGAAACGTATTCCTCAATTCGACACTTATTTCCCCTTCCACTTTTTTTCTAAATCATAGTGCTGCTGAAGCCTCTGAATCTCCCCAACCTTGAAACTCAGTTTTTTTTTAGATTTCAATACTTTTATTATTACGTATACGGCCTTTTTATTTATTATAAACAAAGAGCGAAAAGAAATGCAAAGTATCATGCACTCGGTAGAGAAACTATCGAGTCAGATCACTGCACGGTATCTTCCACAGAGATCTCGGATCTTTAACATCTTTTTCAGTTTTTGTTTATCGAAAAGATTCCATGACAGTAGTTTGGAATTGACAGATTGTTCTTGCCTATTTTTTTTAACACAGCGACAATCTACATCTACTAGTTCCTGAATCCTCCTCTCCTGTTTTGATAAGTTTTTTTTTATAAAGTCTAATAGGAAAACTACCATGTTTTCTTTTATCCTTTGCTAACTTTTCCCTTTATACTATGCAATTGCATAGTTTCTTCCTATGTTAAAATATTCTTTTCCAGTATGATTTGTTTCGGATAGCAATGTAACATTAATTACAGCAACTATATAAAATGCAATACTACTTCTGCCTTAATTTATCTGAACCACTCACTTTATTCTTCGATTGATCTAAATCTTTGTCTTTGTTTCTCTTTCGGAACCTGAAATAATTTCAGAATCCACTGTTTTGGAATCCTCGCCATCAAACGATCTTTTATCACTCTGCACAAAATATTCTGCTAAATAAGACGACGTTAAACGAAATATAAATAAAGTGAAATAACGTTAAATGAAATATAAATAATACCTTTATTCACTGTCAAATAATGCTTTAAGGAACTATATTTGTATCACAGACATGACCTTATTTAATCAATTTTCAAGCGTGAGGTTCAATCTTTGAAATTCTACTTTGTTCTATAGATTTAGTTCTATGCTGTTTTTTAGAAGAATTGATAAAGCAAAATGTTGTCAGGCAGATTTCTATTTGTTAAAATACATCTATGTCATATAATGCTAATTAGATGGAAAAAAAAAATTCTAGATTAATTCGGTGTAACTGCTGTTACTCTGAACTGTCACTAATATAAAAAATAAACTTTGGTTCGAGAGGGAAATTTTTTTCAGACTTCCAATACCGAGCGTGGATGCCTTTTGGATATTCGTTTTACTAAATGCTGTTGGTCCAAAGATGTGAAAGATTAACTGACCTATAAAAATAATTTTTTTTAATTCCATCGATTGAAAAGTTATGTTTTTTTATGCCTTCCTCTTTGATTCCAAAAACAATTCTGTGGGGAAGATCTCAAACATAACCAGTCTGCTTCCTCGAATTCATAGTGAACGGCATTTTTGTTTAATATTACTGAATGATATGGATCGTTTTTACTGAATCTTTGTGAATAAATTTCTGAATGTCCAAACCTTAAATCTCAAGAAAGGAAAAAAGGAAACAGCTAACATTCTAAAAAAGGAAATGAAAATAATTCTATCAACCAACAAAATATTCGTTTTATTCAGTGCTGTTGGTCCAAAGATGTGAAAACTGGAAGGAAATCTGCATTACCGAACCTAACTCTTGTTTAAATAAAGCGCACAGATCCATAAGGTTGCAACTGTAAGTGATAGAAAAAATATATCAAGTACATAAGTAGCCGTCAGTAAAGGACATTATAATACATTGCTGAATCTCTACATTTATCTGCTACCTATAGTGTTAATGCTGCCTGCGATGAATTTAGTATGTTTCTATGTATGATATCAACAAGAATCATAAATTAGCTCTTCTAATGATTTGTCTCCAATTTTGGAGAAATGGATTTCGTCTTTTCCTTTTTAATTACTGATTAAGAAAGCAATTTGCAAATTAGTTTTTGACACAAAAGATAATGTAATAAAGAAATTCCGCAGCTTGCCAACCAAATAACAGAAGAAAACTGCACAATATTCTTGCAAGTTGGCCTAGCAGAATTATGCTTACGACTTTCAACACTAAGTGAAGTTTCATCTGAAGGTTGATATAATTTTACCTAGCAAAAAAGGGTCCTAGATTTGTATTGCCTTGGAAATCGTTCAATCAGAAGCACTGCGAGCACCTTATAAATTTCTCTAGTGATATACCAGAACAGTTTGTATTAGATTAATAGGCTGCACAGTAGATTCATCATGGTATGGAAAGCAAGCATTTGCAAAATGCATGGTACTTACTTTAATATTCTTGTCTCGTTCAGCTAACCTCATCAGTTGGGAGTTTGCTATTTAAGAATTAGTCTCTATTAAAGTGCTACTTGAATTAGTCTTTTGTTGGCACATTAGTTAGGAATTTCATTAAAATCAAAAATATGGCTGATAAAGTCGAACAAACAGAAGTCATGAACATCCTATTTTTTGTTTTATTACATTTCATTTTTCACCACATGTCGGGTTTTAGTTAATTTTGTTTTTCAATCATTCTTCCAGGAATTCTGATTGTAAGTAACTATCGAGTTGATCCGAGTTGATCAGTATCAAAGCAAAATGGTTTTACTTGAAATAAACTTTTTTCATGAGGCTGCATCGAGAGGCCACTTCTTATTACCTGCACTTCAGGAGAGTGAAATAAGCCTAATTTGCTGACTAAGATCTTCTGATTTATATTTTTTTTTTTTTTTTGGGTAGTATCAATGATGCAATTACTGCCTTCAAAACCATAATTGCAGTAATTAAAAAGTTAAAAGAATTGAAGAAAGCATAATAAAGGTGATACAGTAGTAGTGTATGTGAACAAGCAAGAAATGAAAAAACAATTAAACAAAAATAATACGCTGCTTGGATTTTTCAGTGTAACATTCTGACTGAATAAATGATATTGGACTAAGCTTAGACTCAAAATAATTTTCCACCATTATTGCTCCCAATTAAATCTTTTAAAAAAAAAAAATAAAATAAATCCTATGTAATGCATCAGAATGAACAATTACGAATAACTCTTCAAAAGTAGCCTTTATCCCGAATTTTTGAAAGTCCAAGCTATATTTAATAAAATCTCCCTTATATTCTTATCTCAGTCTCTCACAACATCCTATTTCATGAGCTCTCCTTATCTTTATTTATCCTATTTTTCACGTCCCATCTGTTTCTTGCTTGCAATTACATATATTTATTAATTTGCTTCCATTTTTTATATTTGCTTATTTTTCTTTTTTAAAGCATTATTTCAACATTTTTAATGATCATTTTGACTTTTGACACTTATTTTTATGCTTGCTTTATTCAAATAAATTCTTCATTGTGTGTCGCTTAGGAAATCAACTGCTAAAAGCGCTTTCTTTCTACTTAAGTACATCTCTTAAGGCAACTACGCACATTTTGTGTAATTTATTACAAAAATCATTGTGAATCTGTGGAATTGTATAATCATGACATAATATCAGTCAAGAAAATAAATGTAAGTGGTGCGATGTTGACATCAAAACAAAATTTCTGGATCAAAAGTGATCCAATCGCTATCGTTTGCACAAACTTAAAGAATCGAAAAGTCAGCCCAGGAAAAATCTCTCGTTTCTAAAACTAAAGATTTGAACAAAAGAAAAAAAAAATGGAAACAAAAAACTTTTGATATCTAGCGGTTCAAGAAGGTGATAGAGTTAGGAACGAATAGTCTTGAAAGGGCTTTCCTAGTCATTACCTTATTCTTTTCATTTCCTAGCAATGTGGATAGGGAGAAGTTCGCCCCAAGAGGTTTCAGCAATTTTTTTAATGCTTTCTCTTTATTTTGAAATTTTAGTCAAATAATTTTATTGAGCCAAAGTTTTTGACTAAAAGGTCCTTTATTGTAAATATTCTTCACATTGCGGTAAATTGCTTCATTCTTTAAATAAAACAGTAAAGTGAGCAAGCTGGCAACTAGAAAAATTAAAATTCCAGGCTTATTTTTTCTTTCTTTTTTACTGGGTTTTTTCTTCGTACTATGATTTCTCAAGAAAGCTGCATGCAAAATTACACAATTTATACAAATCAAACTTCAATACCTTACATAAGGACTATTTGCAGGAAGAATATAAAGTTTGCATGATATAAAGCGTAACTATTGTGATGTTGAATCAGTACATTTTATGACAATAAATAAAAAATTACCTTATCTTTATTCTAATTTAACGAACAATATCAAAGATCTGAGCAATGAAAATAAAATAAGAAGAGGAAAAGTCTTTGCTACTAGTTGGCTAGGAAAAGAGTAATAACAATAATAATCTTGTTTATCAAGACTGTATTTATAAGTACAGAATTTGCGCGTGAACATAATAAGTAAGAGACTAATGTAAGCAATAAGTTCTGAAATAAATAGAAAATCATGAGTTAAATAAGAAATCAAAGTTCTGACAATGATTTTTAATATTATGAGATAAAGCAAGATATTGTTTGCAATGGTCTATTTGTTTTCAATGATTTATGATACTGCAAGATTGTTTACAATTTAAAATTATTTATTAGTCTTTCTTTTAAATTTATTTACTTATTTTGATTAGAGCTTCGCGAAATTATAATTCGCGACATTCGCACAATCCATAGACAACTTTTTCGTTGATCATCATTCTCACACTGTGGGAAAGGACAACAGCCTAGTCATATTGGTATGTGACTGCGGCTTTTGCCTGCAGATAGAGCTAGTTCTTCATGCCTTCTTCTATAGAGTTAATATCTTGTCTCTGTATGTTCTTAATAATGGATATTTCCAAGCATTCTTTATCACTCAAATCTTTTACAATAACCGGAGCACTATTTTGGTTTGCAATCTTGCCTGCTCACCAACAATATTTTCCAGCTTATTTCATAGCTATTTTTAACTTGAATCTTTATATGCCACGACGCCATTTTCACTACCGAAAAATGCAATTCTGGATTTTCATTAAAAATATGAACAAATTTTGATTTTTTAAGACTGGATAGAAACTGAAGATAACTATCTATTTCATAGTATAAAACCGATAAAATTAATCATAAGAGGTATGCCCAATTTTGCAAACTCCTTAATTAGTTTTGCAACTTTGTCAACAAGTGTTGCACGATTTCCAACAAATATTCTGCTTCCTGAAGAAGCGTTACAATCATCCTATGAATTCACGTTACTATCAAGCATTCTTTTGCAACTTTTGATCCGAAGATAGTTGACATGAAGCCAGAACTGAAAATAAATATTCTCTGATAAAAAGAATCCAGGTACTGAAAACTTGAAATCAAATCTCATTAACAGTAACGTCATTGCTTAAATGATTATAGCAAAAAACTTACATTATTACAGTAAAAGTTTGCTGGAACGTAGAATTTCTCTGCGCTTTAATCGTAGAGATACAAATTCTGGAAGTTTTTCTCGTAGTAATCATAGAGCACCCACGGATACATTAGTTGGAGAAGTAAATTAAATAAACATGAAAGATGTTATAAATTTTATATATTTAATAATAGGTAGAAATAATAGGTAGGATATATTTAATAATAGGTAGAAAAATTAATCACAGCGGAAGTTTTTTTTTTTCATTTCAAAACTCTCAGTAGACTAATAGGCAACGTTCTATGGATAATCATCATATATGAACAATAGATTTGTGGAGGCTTAAATAGGAATGTAGATAGGCTTAAAATATTTGATGTCGAAGAATACACAGAAAGATAGAGAGAGAGAAGGTAAACCATCCTTAGAAATCGTTGCTATGGGTAACTAGATCTAGAGCGTTATTCCTATTTTTTCATTATTTCTGATTATTTCTTTCAAATTTCATTGCTGCTTTCCACAGCAGTTTTCCACAGTTCATCTAATTATAGGATATGCAATCTTATTTCCGTATTTATTAGAGAACCTATGAACATTTTCTGCAATTATTGTATACCATTTGATAACTAATAACGGTTTAATGCCTGATAATATTAGTTCTACAAGGGTTAAGAAGACGAAATAAGTCCAAATAGAGAAGCTAACCCATTGAGCTTCTTCCAATAGATTACAGAAAATTTTGGTTGGCTGGCAAAAAATTCAAGTTTACTTTTCAAAAGTTGGGTAAAGTCCTCTTCAGAACTAGAAACAAACGAAAATTCAAAAAGAAAATTGGAAAAAATAAATTGTTGGTGAAACTGTATGAAACATAACTGAATATCTATGTATATGGATAGTTCTGTCAATTATGTCATCAACAAATGCAGATTATGTGACAGTGAGAAAGGATACGTTATTTCCGGTATCATAATTCCGCAAACACCAAAGAATGATACAAGTTCAGTCGTATTTTTTAAAGTGAACAGAAATTAAAATCAGAGCAAACACAACATTTAAAAGTTTTAATAATCATATTCGGGTGGTTATAATGCGCACTTGCTACTTTTCCCTATCACTGACTTGCGTTGAAGAATTTTCGTTGCTATGTCTGAAAGTTCTTTGTATGGCACAGAATAACATAATACTAGAAACTGAAAAACTTCAGGAATCATGATCGAGAATCATGTGCTGCTAAACAATTCTGCAATGACCCCTCTGTGTCAGATACCGGCACGACACACTGGTATTGCAAGTTTTTGCATACAACTTTTTGGTCTGATAATGAGTGCAGCCCTCACAACACATCAAATACTTCATCTCAACGGCATAACTATAAGCAGAAGCATCAAACAACAATCAAAGCAACCTGAAGCAACGCATACAACGACTCTCATCAATGTGACAGCAGTTTGTGACATACTTAACAAATTAGAATCAGTTCTCATAACACTGTGTATCTTAACACTTTTTTTCCGTAAACGAAAGCTCTCTGGAGAAGATGCTTTCATTCCAAAACCTTTTCATCAATTAACGTACTTTTTAGACAGAACTAAATACAGTGCATACTAATCAGTAGCTTTGCTTTTTCGTCTTCCTTCTCTCAACTTTATCAATTTCTACAATTACAAATCGAGAAGTAAGATATTTGAAACTCATTTTTGCAGATGAGTAGAGCAGAAGTAAGCAAAGACATGAACTTAACAGAGAAAATTATTTGGGATGGAAATCACGCATCAGATATGAATGAAAATGGTAGGACTGGTGGAATAGAACCTCAGTTAGACCTTACTGAATTGATACAGATATCAACAGACGTCTATACCGGTAGGAAATTCTCATGAATTTAAATTCTTCAGTCAAAGAAATTCACAAGCATACAACATAGTAATTTTTTTATAGGAATGTGCATTCTATGGCTACTTTCGCTTATGTCACTACTAGCATCAATTAAACTCGAAAGTTTGGATTTAATCATCGTGAATTCTATGTTCCTAACCATTGCCATGATTTATGCAATTACTCATGCTCTCTTCGTCTCCATATTTTTCGTATACCACGTAAGCTTAAATTCCCTCATTAATAAACAAAATCACATTTCTTTTCAATTTATGCGATATAATCAGTAAAGATGCGATATAATTACATATAAATTGAATCGAATAGATTTGATTCGCTAATATGAAATACTTTATAAACTATGCAGAAGCAAGTATCATGGACCACGCTTATCATTGCAAGTTTTGTTGTTCTCGGATTTGCTTTAACTTCAGTTATTTGTGGTTTCGCCCTTGCTTTCAATATCGCATGGCATAGATATGTTGTTTATATGAACGATAATGATCAGGTTATTGGTATTTCTACTAATATAACCTTTTTTGCCTAAAACCCAGCAAAATTTTTGAAATAGTTAAAAAAAACTCATGAAACTCATTTGTTAATTTGATATTATGATGGTAGTTAAAAAATGCAATATTCTTCAGAGTTTCAGTGTATGTGCCTTACGATAATTGCGCATTTGTTCAAACGTCACCGACAACAACGACCAACACAAGAATATAGCATCCCGGAAGTAACACGACATTCCAATTTACCACATGATAATGAGTTAGCTATCCACAATTTCAGTACTTTATAATCGTTTTATATTTCAGAACAAAGCTATATAGCGAAGCTCTGATATATTTTCGAAAGAGTAAGGTGCATTTACCAAGATGAATAATCTCATTTACATAATTTGATTATGTAAAACACAAAAAAAAAAAATATTTGGCGCAATTTCGCCATTCTTATTTCAATTACTTTTTTGTAAGAATCACCTACCAGTTTTCCGTGTAACTTATACACAGTCATTATGTATTTCTAATGAACTGAAGAAAAAATCAAAAAAGCATTACTTCAGACATTTCATCGCAACCACACAAATAATAGCTCTGAATTGAAAATTTGTGAAAGAGACTGTATTGCAGTTCTACTACAGCCGGAAACACCTAAAAACAAATATATCAAGCGCGGTTCATTCAGGTGAATTTGCAAAAAAAAAAAAAAAAAAACAGTCAACAAAGAACAATAACCATCCTGAATGCATGGGAATAGCACGTCCAAAAACACTTTTCGTAAAGTGAATAATTTGCAACTAATTTTTCACCATATGCTCATGACTGTGGTACAGGCTAAAGTTCGCGAAAAATGATAAGATGGTTGATAAAAATATTCTTACAAATATGGCTTAAATAGAATAAAAATAGTCTTCAGTTAAAGACGTATATTATACTTTACTTACAACTCATGTGAGCTCAATATTTCCAATAGAAGTTAGATATTTCACAAAAATTTTTATAACGTAGTCTTAATTTCCATTTTGTTCCGATCAAAATTCCATTTCTTATCATGAAATAAAGCATTCACACTGAATTTTCCGAAATGTATCTTGAATTTCCTGATGAGAATTCAAAAATAGAAATTACATAACGGTCTCTTGAGATGTGTTGTTGAATAATAGAATAGAATAAATCTGCAAATTTCATTTTTTAGAAAAATCGCTACAATTTCCGATTAACTATTTTTGTATAATTTCAAACATTACACCAAAGAAGAAAAAATTGTCGAGACTACTTGAAGTTCTAATAAAATTTATTAGGAAGTGATATTACACCACAACATAACTGGCGTATTCTTTTTGTGCCAATTCAGAAAAATGAGATGAAGAGACAGAAAAGAGAGGTGATAAATCAAAAGCCATAAAATTTTAGCAATTCTGCGAGATGTTTCAACAACATTCACTGTAAATGCTACTCCGCAGAATTCATTCAATAGTAGAGGAAATACTAGAATAGTAGAGAAAATAACTGCCAAGTCATCAAAGCGCAAAAAAATTATTAAATATCAAAAGTGTTGTAAGGTAGCATGTCCAATTTGTTGCAATATGCAGTTGATTCTGAGTGTTATGGATAATTGTATTCTACTCTACATTTAAATATTAAAAATTTAACATTTATTCGCTTCTGTAGAAAATATCTTATTACGAGTATGCATATTAATAGGGTCAGAAGATTGAATGACACTTTCGTGAATGTACAACAGACAGATTAATTAGAAAACATTTCAAAGTTATTTTATCGCCCAGAGCCTAACAGTTTCTTTCTCTACTGCTTGATTTTCCAACTCATTTTTATGTGAAGCCAGTCCATGTGAAAGATACAATGCTTATGAAAAGTGCCTCGTCTCCAGAATGAGAGTATCTGTCTATCCAGCTTGCTTCTGCGCTTCCTAAGATAATCGCGCGTTTGGATTATACTGTCCCTTAGCAACGCTCAAAATTGCACAAGTTGTCGAACTTTTTCTTCTTTCACTACTTTCTTTATTCGTCCATAAGCGAGAGTGGTCATTAAGCAAAACTCATCTCCTCCGTCGGATGCGATTATCAATATATTCATAATGTTAAATGATTCAATTCAATTCTTCATTAGTTGGGTCATCAATGATCTTTGACTAGTTACACTTTCATGGAATGTTTGAAAGTTTCAGAAGTTTGAACAGCCATGTTCGAAATGATTTCCGTATCTTTGACTCGGTTTACAGTGGAATTATAGAGGAATATTTTTGACAATATTTTTCTTAGCATAATTTTCGTCCAATCCTTCGCTCAAAATATAATCACTTATTGTTCCCTTATGTCAATAATTACTTTAACATCATATCAATATGAAGGACTTTTTTCCAGATTGATATCTAGTGCAGAAATTATAATTTGAAACTTACTATATGACAAATTTAAACACAATAGTTTCTCCTTTTTCGTTCTATTTAGTTTAGAATAGTCTGAAACCAAGTTTAGAATAACCTGAAACTACAGTATAGATCACTTTATTGCTATGAATATGTTCCGTAAGGTTTTGCCTGTCCTTAAATGTTAGAAAATGTGCGGCGATAACATGTTATGAGTTATCTAAATGAACTTGCTTTTAGATTTTTTCCCAGATTTTCCACTTTTTATATCAGTTAAAAATGTAACTCTTATTTTTTATAGAAGTATTAACGCCTTCCTTCTTATGTTAGCTGCATCTTCTAAATTTTCATTGATTATTGCTGAGGAACCCGACCATATAAAGCAATGACTCTTTTTAAGCTAGCAAAAGTTATAATGGATAAAAAAAATTGCAGTAATAAGTTGAGAGAGATATGCGCTCAGATGAGATTTTTTGAGTGGAACAGCTTTGCAGTTATCGTCCTCCATGATATATCCTTTCTCTCAACAGTTTTTACAGATAATTTTGATAGTCGAAATACAAAATATGTAAAGTCCTTCTAACAGAACAAAGAACGGCAGTGTTCTAACAGATTACCTATGCATCGCTCTAGTCCTACCTCTATACTTAGGTTAAGAACAGAAATGATATATATCTTGTAAATGTTCTGAAGCGGGAGTTCCGTAAAAAGAATAATGCAAAAAAGTCGTGCCTTTTGTCAAGTAATATCCATTTTAGTGCTACTTCAGTTTTAGTTTCACTGCCATTCTTTACTCTTCATACAGAAATTAAGTGTTTAATTGTTATATGTAGAAATTAGTGTCATTCTACTATTCATTTTTTCCATGTTGAGGGTTAATTCATGTTAGCGACGAGTGCTGCTGCTAAATTTGCCAACTTACACGATCAAAGACAGTCTAAAGAAAACAAATCACAAAGTAGTGTTGCTGAAGCAGATAGTAGCAGTTCAGCTCCAAATAATTCCATCAATTCGATTGATCATACTGCATATTATATCGGTAAGTAGTATATTGAACTTAGCATATGATTTAAGCTATTACTAATTAGTGAAGAAAGTAATGATTATGTTAGATATATTCGAAATATAGAAGTAGAGGCCAGTTCTAAACCTCTATTTTGAATTTTCATAAAACGTATGAAATTCGCAATTGCACTTCCAAATATGTTCGCATTATTGGAATTTTAGCAAAGCATGATTCTCCAGTTCATCCAAGTACATCGGGGGAAATATATGATCGCCGTAGAATGCTAAGAAGTATATATTCTTCGAAACGTCCAGCTCCAGCTACTAATTATCGCCTTTCTGTTAAGCCGTCATCCTTTCCCGTCGTACCACTAAAACTGTTGGAAAAACGACCACTCTATGGTATACTTTTTCCCGAAATCTGTCTCACTGTTATCTAAATTGCATCTCACTGAATGTGCTGGAAGAAAGTTCTAGAATTTTTCACACTTCTAGCATTGATGGAAGACTGATATAATGTGGTTACATTGTCGAGGTGCAGCGGTACCAAAATGGCAAACAATTTAGGAATAGATAACTTAATTCTTTGCAGTATCATCGCAATTCTATCAGGGTAGAACGTCACAACAAGAACAGATCGATGATTTACAAGAGGAGCTGTATGGAATCAAACGAGTAAGCGAGCTGGCCTGCAAATAGTTGTAATCAATAATTCATACATGGTTAGGTTGAAGTAGAAAAAATTGTGTGAGGAAAATACGGAGATCTAGTACTGTTGATTATGTTCCGAAATTACTCATTTTGAAGGGATAATTCAAAATGATTACGATTGTATCAGGAGAACTGTGGCATTAGACTATGAGGTTATATATACACATATGACGTTGTTATTCGAAACTTGTGCCAATCCTTATCAATCATTTTTCCACTTTCAGAATTACGCTGCTGCATTAAAGGAAAACGTTATATTAAAAACGCGTTTAAAACGTTCAAATAACGAAGTAGTAAAGAAAGATCGTCAGTTACAGAATTTGTTGTTTATTCAGGTCTGTTGTTTATCTATTCATACATTACTTACAAGACTCTGTCCTATCGATGCTATGATTTTGTTATGGACTTGTCTTGGTTAAATTAACTGCTGCTTTACTTTTATATTCAAAATTCGAGGATAAGCGAGATATTCAGTATTGCTATAGTTTAGTCTAAAGGATGCGCATTCGATGGCCAACAAGGAAACATGCTTGCAATGAAGCAAAAAATTGTAGTGCTGAAATCGCTTTTAAAAGAGAAGACCAACGAAATAAGGTTTTCATTGTTTTGTGTTTAGTGTTTAGTTTTAACTTGAGGAGTTACTTATTGAACAGTATGCACTGTAACTATAATTTCAGTCGACTGAAACATGATCTTGAAGCAATGAAAATACCAAATCATCAGGAGTATATCGAATCAGAATGCAACCAGTTGAAGCGTTATCTCACCTACATCACCCCTCCAATCAAGTCAGCATTGTTTTTCTTACTTCCATTTCTATAAATATTTATCAATTGTTATGTTTTGTTTGCTAAACATTTGTAACTCGTGTCAGACTATTAAAAAAAAAAATCTATTTATGAATTTTCAGCAAAATAAAGACTGATGTACGCAGTTTGCCGAAGAGACAAAAAAGCAATAATGATAGAAAATTGAAAGAAACAGTTAGCTTTCTGGAGAAAGAAAATCATAAAATGCGTTCAAAACTACAAATTTTCTTTAACTCCTCAAACTGTCCTCCTGATGGTAAGCTTGACACACAAATTTGATGAGCTTACAAGTTTCAGTAATTCTGAAATAATTTAAACATGTGGTCTAATACTTTTTTCTCTCATTTCTTATACATACTGTCCCAAAAAATATCTCGTTTAGTATACCAAAGATAAGAAAAGCATCCGAACTGTTTTTCGTGATTTTTAAATTTTCAGAAAATTCGCTGACTTTTTTCCATTTTTCCGTTTCGGTTCATGAAGCATTTTCAGTCAGAAGGAAACATTGAAGACTTGCTTTCAAAAATAAATAACTTCATCTTATGTATAGCATGTATTCATTAAGCGCCTTTCACGTTAAGTGTCGGTTTGGCATCGAGAAACGAAAATTTATGAAGAGATCTGGCGAAGTTTGCTGATCTGTTGCCAATTTTTTTGTCGATTTGGCATCCGATAAAATGGTGCTTGCTAGAAAGGTAAATTGCTGACTGATATGAGTTTGGATGAGCCTATAGTGACAGAAAGAAGACAATAATCGATCTGTGGTGACGGCTGGTACAATACTTCTTTCTTCTTTAAACTGGTGTTTAGTCCAAAAAGCTCTGTAATTTCTGCAAAGCAGGAAGTTATATGTCCCAAGGACGCTTCTGTGTGAGCAACGATCTGCGAAGAGTAATTCTCGGATAAGATTATGTGATTTTTGGTATGTGATTTCAATTGTTTGACATTGAGTAAGCTTCCGTCGGTATGATATCAAGTGTAAATACTCTTTTCTCCATCGAGGTTGCCGGGACTCTTTGGAGCATTATGTTGAAGAACAATGTGAATAGAATTGATGCGAGGACGCAACCTTGTTTCACGCCATTGATTATCGCGAAGCAATCAAAGAGTGTCGTATCTAATTTGACTACACCGATCCTCGTTCATTTAAGAAACATCATTATCGCTGCAAAATCTTCCAGAAGTCTTTTCTGCTCATGGTAATAAATGCTTTGGTTGAGTCAATAGATGTCACATAGAATCCTTTGTTTCGTTCTCTATACTTTTCTTGAAGTTGTCTGAGAACAATGTCATGTCTGCAGTGCTTCTATTAACTCGGCAACCGCATTGATTCTCAGGTAAAAGTGTTTCTGCAGTAGTGCGTACTAATCTGTTCAAAAGTATTCTTGCAACAATTTTACCAGCGATAGAGAACAGCGTTATATCTTGATAGTTTAAATAATCGGACTTTTCTTCTTGTAGTGCAAGGTGATTTCTTCTTATCGTCCCAACAGCTCACAATAAGTTTGTGGAATTAACGTGGAATTAACGTATGGCCTTCATGCTTCTAGATTTCGGATTGCCTTGAGAATATCATGCAGAGTGGAAGCTACGTTCAGTTCAGTAGTTTTCATCGATTTGTTGAGTGATAAGTGAGCGGTGTGCACTGAAGAGAGATTGAAAGTTTTAAACCATCGGTTTGAAGTGGAAGGTTTATCTGTGAGAAGAGCGACAATCTGAACTGAGAAGAGGACTGTGAATCTGATGTGTTGTCTGTGCACTAATTTCAGCTTCGTAGAGTTCCTGGAATCCTTTTGTACTGGGTTGACTCACCACTTGTTTTTGATGTTCCGAAGTTTCGTTGAAGCTTAATGCATGCAAGACGAAAAGCTACCTTTCTTGCAAGATAGGATGGGTGAGTGAGATGCACTCGGTGAGGAGCCTGTTCCTGAATAGCAAGCAGTTCTTGCATCTGCAGATGTTTTCATCTAACCAATCTTTGGATTTCTTTGATATGAACCTAAGCATTCTGCGGAGGACTGCTAGGTAATATATTCATGAGTTGCCAGAGTGGTGTAGAGGAGGAATGTATTGGCTGGTCTGCAAGACTGGTTTGAAGGTTAGTCTGGAAGTTGTCTCTTATCGTAGTAACTTCAAGATTTGAACTACTTACTGAGAATATTTCCTCGTTTAGGTTTGGTCTGAAAGTGGAAATTGAGTTTTCATCGCAAAGCTGTTTATTTGACATTCAGCACTAAGCGTCATTCAAGTTGAAGCGCAGTGGGTGAGGTGCCAATATTTGGATCGAGAGTGCATCCACATTATTTTTGGCTGTTTTTCTGCTCAAAGATGATATCTGTGTCGTAGCAGTATGCGTCTATTATCGTTGAAGTTTCCAACACCATGTTTCCCTTGTATTCCTTTCTAGGCCTTAAAATTCTTTCCTACTTTGGCATTGAAATCATCAAGGATTATGATTTTATCGTCTACAGGAATCTTTCGGATAAGATGGGGAAAGCTGATATTGAATTTGTCTTTTCTGCGGCATTAACTCGGAGAATCCATCCGTGGTATTAGACATGGTTTTGATGTTCCAATATGAGTCAATCTGAAAACACGTTTGAAAGTAAGAAAAATGTGTATAGTCATAGCAGAATACATGTGTTGATTGCGATTAGCTAATCAGGTAGAACGTGGAAATCAGCTTTGATTAGGTTCTTTTTCAAAACTCCTCTCCATATGGAGCAAGCAGTGTTCTCTTTGGAAATTGGTCCTTTACGATGCTGCAGAAAAAACTGTCATCTTCGGAGTCAATCTCGACCGACCGGGTCTAAAACCTCTTGCATGTAGGTTGAGACTTCAGCTCCAGTGGTACCTTTCATCTGCCGTTTCCACATCTTTGCTAGTGAACTTTGCGAAAGCAGGTATATTCTTCGAGTTTGCGCAATGAAGTTTTGTTAAATGGGAGCACGCCCGGAACTTTCCCATTATTTACGTTTAGAATCCAGGGAATTCGCGAGTAGTAGATTTATTTGGGACATCGTTTTTGTAGACCAATTTCCAAGATAACGAATTCCATCTGTTCCCTAAAGCCAGTGGGCGTATGCTACTCATGGGCAGATTATGTGAAACTTCAGTTAGGACTGATCTGTTTATGGGAGGCCATACTGGAGTCATACGTACTGCCAGCATAGCTCGCAACTTCAGAACATCACGCCAACTTTTCTCGCATCACAACGGATGTACACAATTGGCTGAGGAATGAATACTGAAGAAAGACTGATTATCTTTTACTGCTGTTAAATGGATATCAGTACAAAATTGATAAGTTAAGAATGTGGCCGTGCATGATGTTAGTAGAGGCTAGACTTAGTTGTGTTATATGGAATGTGTGTGTGTGAATTAATCGAAAGAAAGTCTTATCAGTACTAAAGGCGTTACTAAATTTCCTGTAGAATGCATTTTTCTTCACTTGGTACAGCGTAATAGGTTTTGCAGGTACCGATTATTATTTAATTACGGATCGTCGATCCTGCAAGAACGTATTTTGCTTGATTATTCCGTGTTTACTCGCAATTTAATATTTAAGTTGCTTGTTCGTTTATTTCTCAATTTTGACAGAATTTTTCTTTAAAGTGAGGAAAAACGAATTTGATTCATTTCAATGCTTTCTAAGAAGTTATTTTGGATAAATTACGTGTTTTCGATAAATCAGGGATGGGATAACCTGAGGATAGTTTTCTACGAGACAATGTCTCTAAACAATTGATTTTTCATTTCACTCCAAAGGAAAAATTGTATTAAGAAGAATGGCAAAAAAGCAACATTGAGCAGTTAGTGGAGCATGACAAATTTCAGACGCCTGGTAAACTTCATTTGGGAACTCTATTTCGAATTTCTTTAAAAAATTTTTGCAGTGTTATCTACGTTTGAACGTGAAGAACTTATTGCATTGATTAATCATCTGAAAGGTGAACTGAGAAAGGAAGAAAAGCGAAAAAACAGTTGTAATGCTAAAAGTGGATGGTCCAGACAGAAAGATACTTCACCAGTATACGTTCATAAATTACCGCCAGTGAAGCATGAATTCAAAATACCTACAAAGCAGATGAAGACTATCAAGTAAGACAAAATTTCGAAATTTTCTTTTAGAAAGGCACGAACATTTGTCTTGAATTCTTACATCAATTTAGCATTTTTGTGTGTGAAAAGGCATTTGTTTGTGTATGACGAAGACTAAGGAAAAAAAAGTAAGGATCTGTCTTCTACAGGAATATGTTCTACAGGGATTATTAAGATCATTTCGTAGAATATCTGTCTTTTTTCATTTTGATACTTTTTATCATGCTCAGGATTAATTATTTAAAATAATAAGTGGAGGGGTGTGGGACTTTATCATTGCCTTGTGAATGATTTATTTTGCATTTCAGTAAGCTCATAGCACTAAGTAATGAAACTGAGGAAAAATCGCGAGCAGAAATAACAAAAATTCGTGCTGAGGATGAAGCAGAGAAAACAACAATATGTACAATAAAAATGACAGGATCACCAAAAGTTGGGACTCCAGTTGAAAAATCGGGACCAAATGCTAATAATTGGGAAAGTGATGATAGTTTTGCAAGGTTTAACCATCACTTAAATCGTCTTTACCAATTAATTTTTTCGTTCTTTTTTTAAGCCGTTATTTTATAATGCTTCCAAAAACTTGAAAAGACATCACATTTTAAAAAACTTTCTGTGCTTTATTCTTGTATATCACACAGAATAGTGGTTGGTACAAAAATGGAGAATGTGACTGAAAGACCAGTTAGTGGAAAAGGAGATGTATCTGGACAAGCGGAAGATGAAAGCAGAGTAGCTGAACAAAAGGAACATAGATCTGAGACAATTCAAAGAAACTGGCAAAAATATGAAAATAGAGAAAATCAAATTAGTGAACATCCAGTCATTAAGGATAATGAGGATGAATGTAAAAAAGTATTCGACGATGTTGCAAATAGTGAACTGATAAAAGAGAGCTCAAACAGTTATGGTGAAGTTCAAGAATGGACTGAAGAAGAGGATTCATCAAGTGATACGCATGAACAGCTAGAGAAGGTGGCATCAATAAAGAAAATAGAAAGACAAGAGAAAGTGAAATTCGAAAGTGCGGAAAGAGTGGAAGTGAAAAAAGAAGTAAGCTAATCTGTAAATTTTTCTAGTAGTTAAAAATAGTAAAAGGACCATATTGATTTGAGTTTTCTTTAATGATCAAATTCGAGTAAGCATATATTCATTCTATTCATCTTATGAAAAGTGGA